TTTCAATTATTAGTTTATATTCAATTTATATTTCAATTATTAGTTTATATTCAATTTATATTTCAATTATTAGTTTATATTCAATTTATATTTCAATTATTAGTTTATATTCAATTTATATTTCAATTATTAGTTTATATTCAATTTATATTTCAATTATTAGTTTATATTCAATTTATATTTCAATTATTAGTTTATATTCAATTTATATTTCAATTATTAGTTTATATTCAATTTATATTTCAATTATTAGTTTATATTCAATTTATATTTCAATTATTAGTTTATATTCAATTTATATTTCAATTATTAGTTTATATTCAATTTATATTTCAATTATTAGTTTATATTCAATTTATATTTCAATTATTAGTTTATATTCAATTTATATTTCAATTATTAGTTTATATTCAATTTATATTTCAATTATTAGTTTATATTCAATTTATATTTCAATTATTAGTTTATATTCAATTTATATTTCAATTATTAGTTTATATTCAATTTATATTTCAATTATTAGTTTATATTCAATTTATATTTCAATTATTAGTTTATATTCAATTTATATTTCAATTATTAGTTTATATTCAATTTATATTTCAATTATTAGTTTATATTCAATTTATATTTCAATTATTAGTTTATATTCAATTTATATTTCAATTATTAGTTTATATTCAATTTATATTTCAATTATTAGTTTATATTCAATTTATATTTCAATTATTAGTTTATATTCAAGTTATAATTAGCGGAATAATTATTAAAAAAAAAAAACTTTGAAAATGAAATTAAATTGAAATGAAATTAAAAAAAAATATAATTAGTTTATTCAAGTTATAATTAGTTTATATTCAATTTATTAGTTTATATTCAAATTATATTTCACTTATTAGTTTATATTCAATTTATATTTCAATTATTAGTTTATATTCAAGTTATAATTAGCGGAATATTTATAAAAAATAAAAAAAAACTTTTAAAGAATCAAAGTTTTCGATTAAAAGGCTGAAACTCGAAAGACAAAAGTGAAAAAAGTTTAAAAATCTCATCCCTGAAAAGCAGATCATGATGAGGGATTTTTGAATCGCATGAATTGATATCTCGATGTGTTATTTTTAAATCATGTGAATACAAATCGCGCATCTGGATTAAGAGCTTCAATACTCAAAATCCATGATGAACTGGCAGTTTCCATGATTTTTTAATGTTGATCACTAAAAATCATGACTTTCCAGGTGTACATGCACAGATAACCCGTAAATGTAATAACTGCAGGAATAGAGCATGCAAAAAAGTAGCACACAAAAGTAGCTTAGTAGCACATTAATTACACCCGAATGCAAGAAAAAAAAAAACATGATTCAAGAAACAACAAGCAGTTGCAGAAAAATCGATCCATAAATGACAAAGATTTACAATAGAATCAATGCAAACCGAGTACTGGAGAAAGTTACTCCTTAAACTCGAAAAACACACTTGACTAACTAACATCGTATAAAAAAATATCACAATAACAAAAAACAAGTGGAAATAGCCAAAAACTATTTGAAAAGGAAGAGACATTGCATAACAAAAACCAATAACTCAATTTTGAAATCATATATTATAATAATGTATTAAAAATAAAGAATTGATAGATCGAGTGAAAAGGGAGGAGAAAATTGATAAATTACTTCCAAAAAAACTATCATTCAATGACGTGTTCGACCAAATTATATAGCGAAAACTTAAATTAGAATTTTGCATGTTGTAATAACATTGCATTAAAAATATTGGAATTAGAAAGTCTAACTGAAAAGGGTCTAAAAACTATTAATCAAGGATCATTATAAAAAATAATAAAATTACGATGGGATCATGAATTGAACAGTTCAACAAAGAGTGAAAGTAAATTTGAAATTCGCTCGCCATAACAAGGTTGCATCGAAAAAGAGAAAGCTTAAGTTCAGAATGCGCTTGTCATAATAACGTAGCAAATACATTGAAGTTTAAAAATCTATGGAGTAACGGTTGAAAAGACTATTAATTACGACCGAAAAACTATAAATAACTGCTGAAAAAATTTTTGGAAAACCATGCAAATTTATAAAACAAAAAACAGTGAATAAGCATTTTTAACAGGGTTGGCAAAAAAACCCAGGTTTTTTGGGTTTGAACCAGATTGATGTTTTAATAATTCGCAATTTTATATCTTTGTCTTTAAATTTTTTTCTTACTTTCCTATATTTACTCATATGATTGTTTAAAAGTAAAGCTTTTTTACATCCAAATACACCACACTAAAATGTCCTATTTTAAGATTTTTTTCAATAAATTTCCCACATCTTTTCATTCATTAAAATAATGGAGAAATGAAAGGTAAAAAAATTTCCCTTGAATCGCTCACCAATCACTTGGTTTTATTATTCGAATAATAATCAACCATATCTCTCTGACTACCTACATTGCAGCTTTATAATATTTTTTCAAATATATTTTAAATGTATTTTTAATTTTGAAAAAAGTTCATGATGTTTTTATTGATAATCCTAAACTGAAATTTCTTATATAAAATTTTATAAAACGAACTGGAGTTCTACAGAAGACAAAACGTCCTAGAAAGGTTGTGGTATTTTTTAGTTATATTTGTTATCTTATGCTGCCTTTTCAATATGTATTGACTATATAGCAATTATTACTATTAATTTTTTAATATCAAAATTTCCACAGCTAGGATGATTGTCATCAGGGGTCTGTCAGACAGACCCCTGATGACATTACATTTTTTACATATAACCCTGCATCCTTTCCTTTTATCATTTTTTATTTCATCAAAATATAACCAGATTAAATCTTTTCTTTTACAACCAGAGTTGAACATTCTTGTTCTTAAATATTAACATTAATCAATTCTACATCTACACAAAATAAAAGTAGGCATGCTGCTGAAATGAGTCAAGTTGTTTGGTTGAAAGTTGAAGTTATTTACAACATTAAACAATTTGAAAAATATAATTATAAATAAATAAAAATGCAATTTTAAATTATTCTTAGGGAAAAAAAACCAAATGGTTTTTTTGAGGAAAAAACCATTTGGTTTTAACCATGGTTTAAAAGATGCCAACCCTGATTTTTAATAAATAGAAATGCATAATTAGGTTTTAAAAAAATCATGCAGGGTGGCAGTTTTTCATTCAAAGGGCAAATGAGNCCCATCCCAGTGGACGACAAGCGGACCATCAGGTTTGAAGTTATGCTTCAAATCCTTCGCTAACTGGGCTCGAAATTTTGTTCTGTGTCTGCGAAGTGTACTTCGTGAAACAGTACTTTCACTTACATTTATTCCAACTGTTTGGGCTGTTGCTGCAATTAAAAATGTAGCACTGCGATTTGAGGTTTTTGTTCGATCCAATGCAGACATCAAATTAGGTGAAAGAAGCTTGCTTTTTTTTCCCCTTTGCTGTCTTTTCTGAAGTACTAGGATATTGAAAAGCATCATCATCAGTATCACTTTCTGAGAATGAGCTAGTTGAACCACAGTCTTCTTTAATTTCAGCACTTGATGAAGGATAACATACAGTTTTGTTTTTATTCATGTCCACACTATTAGATGGTAGTGTCTCATATCGCCTCCATTTAGATGAGCGTTTCTCTTTCTTCTCAAGCTTTCTGTCGACTGACAACATACAGCCTTCAAATCCTTCTAGCTGTTTAAGTCAAAACATCTTATCCTCTTCAATTTTTATCATCTGTAAAGCACCGACATGAGCGATATCCCTCAACATCTTGCAATCTTTGATAAACTTCTGTTTATTGTCTTCTTGAGTATTCGTACTCCGATTTCTGCTTTCTCAATTTTTATTACCACTCAACTAATTTTTCTAACTTTCTTACTGCATCCTGCTTTTCGGTTGTAGGAATTCTAGCCTTATTCCAGAAGGTCAACACACTATCAACAGTGTGACTTGCACTTTCATGCATTGTTTTTGTCTCATAGTGAAAGAAGTTTCTTAGTACTGCATTAATGGAAGGTAGTTTACATCTTTTTATTTCACTTATGGGAAAACCAAGTAACCAAATTTCAGAGTCTTTTCTAAATCTAATTTTGCTTGACATTGTTTCAATAAAATCTCACCAGGTCACAGATGTAAACAAACAATTCCAAAACAAGAAGTAAAATGTTAACTATATAATAATTATATTTATAATTATTATTTTTATCATAATATATGACCATTGTTTATGAAAATAAGTAAATAAATAATAAATAGTGATAATATGGAAATTATTTTTTTAAGGCTTCAAAGTAAAAACTTCAAAGCCCTTGAGCTACCTCTAAATGTACTTGAAATTAGCTGAAATTTTGCATGGGGGCTTCTTTAGTCATGTGTACAAGTATTTAGGGTTAAGACCAGCAAATTTAAAAAAAAAGTTTTTTTTGGACCAGTCTACTGCATCCTTTCCTTTTATCATTTTTTATTTCATCAAAATATAACCAGATCAAATCTTTTCTTTTACCACCAGAGTTGAACATTCTTGTTCTTAAATATTAACATTAATCAATTCTACATCTACACAAAATAAAAGTAGGCATGCTGCTGAAATGAGTCAAGTTGTTTGGTTGAAAGTTGAAGTTATTTACAACATTAAACAATTTGAAAAATATAATTATAAATAAATAAAAATGCAATTTTAAATTATTCTTAGGGAAAAAAAACCAAATGGTTTTTTTGAGGAAAAAACCATTTGGTTTTAACCATGCCAACCCTGATTTTTAATAAATGGAAATGCATAATTAGGTTTAAAAAAAAACATGCAGGGTGGCAGATTTTCATTCAAAGGGCAAATGAGGCAGCTTGTCCCGCAAACCCCCCCTAGAATGAACTCTACCTTCAATGACTGGTCTTTCATACCAGTGACATTTTCTTAATTTTCCTTTCTGAATATAGCAAAAATCATAGTGTATTTTAAAAATATAAACAGTAGAAATTGTAAAAAATAAAAATAGTAAGTACCTTGTTACAGCATATTCTCTAAGACCTGAATGCAAATTCATAGAATTGAAAGTACCTATACATCCTCGCAACCTTCGATCTTTCCCTATCTTCCATGTGACAAACAAAGGGCTAAAAGAACAACGCAGAAAATTTCTAGAATTAGTTAAAATAAAGAAGTGAACATAGATATTAATTTTGGCATATAAAATTTTTATTCATAATTGTCTGCTTTTAATAAGGAACTTATATGCAATAATTTATCGTTGGGTTTTTAAATGCTTTAGAGTCATAGAAACATCTCTTAAAGCTTTAATTTTGCCAAGAATAAATGCATAAGTTTAATGAATGTATAATTGACAAAAGTTTAAATTATGGAGACTCTAATATCTCACAAAGCCTACAATATTCCAACCAAGTTACTTAAAATGTCATAAATTTTACCGAAGGGCTCGCTTTAGCTATTAAAAGAGCTTACAGAAACAAGCTCATTTTTAAAGCTTAGGCAGGGGTCTGTCCAGGCATTTTGTGAAAGGTCCGTTTTTGTAAAATTGTGAAAAAACTACTTATAATTTGTGAATATAAAATAAACGTTAAGTCACATTCTTTCAACCAGGGTCAGGCTTTTGTGAATTTGTGCAAATAGGGTCCTGTTATTGCAAAAAAACTTTTCAAGGAGTTTTTAAATTGTAAAGACATACAAGATTATGCTCAATGTAAAATTACAATTAAAAAAATTTAATTTTAGAAAATAAACAGCAATTGCAGCTACTACATTAGAGATGCAACATACAAATATTTGGTATTTAGCCTATACTGACTGCTGAATGAAGAAATTCATTTTAGACAAATAAAGGAAGAAGCGTCTGCCGCAGACAAAACTTAGTTCGTTTACATCTGTCTTTCTTTCCTCCCCTTCCTGGGAAGGGTTTATTCGATTAACAAAACAATAATGAAGATAAACAAATTTGTGAAGGGTCCGTTTTTAAGTTAAAATATTTTGTGAAGGGTCTGTTTTTATGAAAAGATATATTGTGAAGGGCCCGTTAATGGACCCAAATTTCTTCTAACCTTCTCAACCAATGTGACCAACAGTATTTTAGAAATAAATGTAAACTGTATGCTATACAGCACAAAATTAATGCATAATAAAAAAAACTTTAAATTGATATTACTACTGACATTTAATGGTTTACTTAATGTTTACCATTACTAATTCGCTTATTTAAAATGGTTAATTTTCGCAGATCATGAATATTTAATTTTGTATAAGTCTTCCATTTTAGATATTTCTAAACGTACCTTAACAAATAAGTAAAGATGATAAATTATAGAACTTTACCTTCACTAACAACCTATTTAAAAATATTATCCATTATCCTTAAGAATAATTTTTTTTTGCTCACATTTATTATTAGGAAAATGCAAACAATAAATGTACACACAAATAAACTGTTACATGAGTCTAGGAATAAAAAAACTAACTCTTCACTCAAAATTACAGAGCACAGTAATTAAGATAATCATTCATAAAAAAAAATTAAAAAAATGACTGGTACTCACTAACTATCATTTGGAAAACTAGGAGTCTTGGGTGGATCATATTGATTTAAATGGCAATACAATACATCAAAACAAAAGAAGCACATTTCTACACAAACAACAACACCATTTTTAAATATATTAGGTTGGTAATTGTGATGCTGTATAATGGTCCCATTTCCATTGCAGCAAGCACTTGAATGATTGTTCAACTTCTGTTTCTTAGCACCACAACAACCGGCAGCCATTATTACATAAACAATAAAACAACAGATTGCGAATAAAATAATCAAACACAAAAACTTAATACAAACAAATGGAATAGTAACCAATTCAGTTTACACTATGAAAACAAAAGTCGCGAAAAGAAAAAAAAAACACTAAGCTTTATTATTCCCTCATTGCTCAAAATGACAAGTTGTTTCGGCGCATGTCCCAACCAAATTGTACGAACTGAACTTAATTTTATAATTTAATATTGTAGGTTGTAAGTTAGGGATGCAGCAGTTTATATTTTAGCATAGTATTAAGGAGCTCTGTTTTAAAAATAAGATTAAATAAATACAGCCACGAAAACAAAAATAAATAAAAAAATATCACTTCACGAAAAACTTTAAAAATTTCTGAGAATACTTATCATGCTTTTGTCAGCTTTAGATAAAATAGAGTTGAAAATAAATTACTTATATTCAATAAAATTAAAAAAGCAATTTAATAGATACTTACTAAGAATCATTTGAAAAATTTGGAGTTTTAGGAGGATCACTTTTTAGTAAATGACAATAAACAGTGTCAAAACAAAAATAACACATTTCCGGGCAAATTATTCTTCCGTTGGTTTCAATATTTGTAATATTATTGCATTCTCTTCTAAGTTCATCAGTATTTGGCTTCGATCTCTTTGAATCACGGTGATTTTCGCCCATGTTTTTGGGTAATAAATATTTAAGGAGGTGATAAATTAAAAAGAATTATGATAGTGAATTATAAATTAACTAGTGCCCAACTGCCCGCCATGAAATGTGAACGAAAGGAACGTTATTACGATTGTTCAGAAAAAAAAATTCGCGAACGAATCAGGAACGCCCAAATCAGCCGAAAATAAAGACCAAGAAAGCTATAAGCAGAAAGAACGAAGCTTGAAATGAGCTTAACAAAAAATACAGAAATAGGCAGACGAAAGTGCTGAGTTAAACGCGCATGATATTTCGTTTCGTTTTGTCGAGATCCAGACAAAGCTTTAATAATTTCATAGCTATTTTTATTTGAAATTTGAATTACGTAAGAATTACGTAATAATTGGCACAAAAATCACATAAAAAGATTTATTTTAGCTGGGCATACAAAACGTTGCAAAAAGGAACCTTATGAGTACCTAAAATTTAAGTAATATTCACCTTAAGATAGGCTTTATTTAAAGGTTTTTTTCAAGCTCGAAAACCTTAAGACGACCTCGAATTATTGCTGTTTAAAAAAAAGGTTTCCCAAGGTTTTGGATTAGGGTAATGTGCGTAGAATAGAGAAGATTGTCACAGACCTCGTTTTAAGGTTAGAAGGCTTACACGTAAACCGCATAAAAAAACCTTTTGAAAACCTAGTTAAAATAAACCTTACTTTGCTATTTGGATTTTAAGTTGACAAACTATATGGAACTGAAAACTACATTAAACATAGTTCTAAAGAAACGCATCGCGGAAATTTTGAAAAGTTTTTTATTAAATAAAAAGGAAAAATATTAAGAAAAGGGAAAATATCGTAGTACATTCAACTGAAAAGAGGAGGAGAGAGAAGGGAGAAGGACCAAAGTTATGAAACCGGTCTCACCCAAGATGGCGTATTCGAGCGTTACGATCGCCAATATTGTATCTATCTCCAACTCTTTTCTTTAATGAAAATAAGGTAAAGCCCTACTGCTACAGCCCCTTGTGGGCCAGGGGGTTCATGGAGCTTTAAGCTCCATAATTTCGTAACCAACTTCATGATTGTGACAATGCTGTCAGCATTTACGCACAGACCACCTATTTACTTTTCAGGCAAATTAGTACCCAACGATCTTAAGCTGGGTGTGCTTCAAGCCTCTGGGGATTGAACCCTCGTTTCTCACCACGACAGTTCAGTGCCTTAACCACTGAGTAATTACAGCTCGTTTCTCTTCAACAGGCTTTTCAAATCGTTTGTTATTTCTGAGGCACCAATAAAAAAAACTAAATTTAAAAAAACTAGAGTAGGGATAGCCTGGTTGGTAGGACACTGGGCTCATGCCCAAGAGTTCGTAGATTCGATCCTCGCCGGCCGAAGACTCCCCGTGTAGTAAATGGTGACGGATGCACGGAAAGTCTGTCGAGTCGCAAAGTACTCCATGTTCCCATAACAAGTCAATACCTCTGATTCAGGAGTTTCCTTGTTTTCTGGATTGATTCAAAATTGCAAGGCAACGGAATTGAACATTAGTAGTCGTGAACCCCAAAACTGGGTTGACTGTTCAACGACGGATATAAAAAAATTTTTTTTAAAAATTTCACACTTTGCTACTGTGATCGAATAGAAAACAAGACACCCGTTCCAGCCGCCCTGTATTTTATGGATGTTTAAAATATCATTATTCTTTCGTGATTTTTTTTTAAATAGAATTATCTCCAAATTAAAATTTTCGAGAAAATAGAGCTATATGCACATTTTATTGAGATAAATAAAAATTAGATGGTCTCTTTTTCTCTTTAAAACGGTTCCTTGGGGTATTAATCCACTTTTTCTTCGAGGAGAATTTCGAATATCCCGTCAATACCCGTCGAATATCGAAGGCCGAAGGTCTTTGAGTGATCGTTTTAAAAGAATTCTGAATGCTCTGCGTGTGTACGAGATCATCGCCAACAAAACCAATTATTTTTATTTTTTGAATCCGGAATGAAAAATGTAGCAGAAGAGTTCCGATATCTGTGTGGATGCTAGTTTCTGTTTCTGTTGGATCGTTAAACTAGTTAAAGTGATTCTTCGCTTACCTGACTAAGAACCAATCTTCATTTCTATAGTTCTTTCTTTTTCCCCTTTTCTTCTTCTTTTTTTAATCACCTTTATTTTAATCACTTTATTTTGTTATTCACAGATATATTTCAAAACAAACGGATTCACCAAATAAAAAGTTAGTTTTTCATTAATGCCTTATATGTAATTAAAATTGAATAAATTTGTGTCTTAGATTTAATTTGTGTCATAAAATTTTTAGTATAATAAATTCACCAAATGCTTTAAGACAGGGAAAAAATTATATATCACATTTACCCATTATAGCTTTCTTGATTATGTCATTTTAATTATAAATATTTCCCAAGTATTTTATTTCCTAAAATATAGCTACATACTTAGCAGAAAGGCAATTAAAAAATTTCGTTAGGATTATGTAAAAATTATTCGTTTAGGTGTAAGCAAATTAGTTAGGTAGTTTGTTTGTAATGACGTGTGTTGCCGGAATATTGTTTGTAATGACGTGTAATGGGTGTGTTGCCGGAGCAAACTCTTAGATAAGAAGGATATGAAAAGAATAGTGTAATAATGCAATCTCTAGGAGAGGAGATTTTATTAAATAAAAATGAAAAAAAAAAAAAATTGGAATAACGTGCATTAATAAAAAAATTTTTTTTTTTAAATTATACATGTATGTGTGTGTCTAATCATATATACAGGAGTTTGACAAAATAATTGAGAGACTTCGATACTAACACATTTTTTAATATTTAAAAAATAAATACTTAGAGAATCAGTTCATAAATTTAAAAATTATTACATGGTACGATTTCTCCTACATATCAAGGAAGTTTACCCTTATGAAAATTTAAGGTATATTTAAGGTTGATTTGAGGTATTTTTGAGGTATTAAGGTTGTTTTGAGGTATATTTGAGGTATATTTAAGGTTGCAGAGAAAACAGAAATAAAAATTATACCTCGTAAAGGTTGTAATTAAGGTGTACGAGGTTGATTTATATATACTTCAGCTTGTTTTGAGGTTGTTTAAAATTCACTTCAAATCATCCAGACTGATAAGGTGATTTTTAAGGTATACCAGGTTTATTTTCTTACATTTGTAACAAAAGAGGTATTTTTGAGGTGTAAAATTTTTTACCTTATTTCAACTAAAAAGAGTGAGATATTTATTGAGGTATATGAAGTCATTTTATTTATACCTAAGCTTATTTTGAGGTTGTTTTAAATTCACTTCAAATCAACCAGACTGATAAGGTGATTTTTAAGGTATATCAAGTTGATTTTCTGATACTTGTAATAAAAGAGGTATTTTTGAGGTATAAAAAAATTGACCTTATTTCAACTAACGAGAGTGAGATATTTATTGAGGTATATGAAGTCCTTTTATTTATACCTAAGCTTATTTTGAGGTTGTTTAAAATTCACTTCATATCAACCAGAATCATGAGGCAGTTTTTAAGGTTCACCAGGTTGTTTTTTTTACACTTGTAACAAAAGAGGTATTTACGAGGTATAAAAAATATAATTTTTTTCAACTAAAGAGAGTGAGGTCTTTATTGAGATGTATGAAGTCATTTTATTTATACCTAAGGTTGTTTTAAGGTTGTTTAAAGTACACTTCATATCAACTAGCTCACTTCCCAGAGTTCCGTGCTAGCCGGCAAATGGCGTGTGTGTTTACAATCGAAAGTTTCTTCAAAATTCGGTAAGTGTGCTTGACATTTATTAATTTAGCTTTGTCACTTTTAATCAAATATGCCTCAACTTTCAAACTTAAATTTCATTATTTTTGTTTTAAAGACGCGTCCTGATCTTACATTATTTAAGTCGGAGGATATTCTTTGAGGCTATTGTTGTAGGCTTAGCAATAAGACAGATCAATCTAAATATTTCTCGTCGCTGTTTAGGGTAACGTTACTGGTGAATCGTTACAGCAGGTTACGCACAGTATATTTTATTGTTTGTAATTTATTCAAATATAACTATTCTTTTTGTTTTGCTTAAATGTATATGTTTTAACGTAGCAGTATGCAAGCTGATTGAGTAAAAGGTTCATAATTTCTCTTATAAATAAATCACTGAAAATTGAAAGTTAACAGTTT